AGAAAAGTTCTAAAAGGACTACTACATCAGAACTTTGGCTCTGTGTAGACTATATAGTCCCTGCTGATCAACTTATAGTTGGAAATAGCGGAATGACACTGATACTGATACTGAATGAATTATAAGATATCTAATAAATATAAACATGATTTTTTACAACAACTTACAAATTTCTCGCGCGCTGATGGTTATTTTTTATCATCAATAAGAGGACAGACAGATAAAGCTAACGTCATTGAGTGTGTGCTCTTTCCATTGGTTGTTTTGATCACTAGAAAAGAGATGGATCCACACTACTTTGACAATGTGATGATGCAATTTATTGTCAATAAGAGGACAGACACATTAAAATCTGATGTCAATTTGTTAATTATTAGTAAAATATGTGTAATTTGTTTTTTTATTTCTTATCTTCTTAGTCAGAAAATGAGTTATTTGATTTGCTTGGTAAATTCCAGGTGAGTTGATAAATATCTCTCTCATCATATGAAGCAAATGTTGTATGACACTAGTATGGATGTACGTGTACAATGTCATGTCCATGATCTTGCTGTGTCAAAGCATTGATCATATGGTCTATGATCTAGCTGACACTGATTTAAAGGAAGTTGCATTTTTCACAGTAATTGATAATGAAATCTTTTCTATAATCAAGTTGTTAGTCATCTAATATATAAATGAAAAGGCCACCCAAAACGGCTATCTTGTCAAACACTGTTTGGCTGAAGAGGTCAATCCTTCAGGGCTAACAGTACCCCATCAGTGACCCTTATGCCACACAAGAAATATATATAAATCTTAAACGTCTGATCCTGTGGGTCAAGGGGCAAGGTCAGTTCAGCCAATTGTGTTTAAGGCCACTCCTCATGACTGGTCACACATTGACTACATGATCATGCATGTACAGTCATTGAACAGGTTTTTTTTAACCTTAGTAACCATGAATACTTTATACAACAGTCAGATCGTCTTGATGAACAGCGCTGTAACCCCCCTCAAGTGGTCATAAGTAATACAAGTGATAATAGTGAAGACAACACAGATAGTTCTACTATGCCAGCGGTAAATATGACCCTTATGACAATTGAGGTTTTTTCCTAATGACTATCAGTTGTCATTTAATTTAGACCTGATTATACTTGAATGAAGAGTAGCATGTGTCAGGATGGGGAAGACTAAATCTTGTTCTGTGTGTTTGGAGGGCAGGAGGGAGAGGGAGGGGGAGGTGGAGGGGGAGGGGGAAGGGGAGGGGTGCTGTGTGCCTTTTTTAATAAAGTATTTTATCATCTTACTATTCAGAATTATGGAATGAGGAAAGCTGATAGTATTGACCTTGAACCAGTGAAACAGGTATGATATACATTTGTCCCAACACATCCAAGTGGTCTATATCCATATAGAACAATATTATATATTGTTTATGAAATATTTGAGATACTATGCACATTCTGATTGGTGGAGAAGTCAAACAAACACTTGGCTATGCTTTGTGTTCGACAACAACCTCTCTGTTGCTGTACAGTGCCCAGAGTGTTTAGACTGCAGCATATATAAACACAGGCACCATTTTATTTTCCTAGTATATAGAAGGTCTAGTAGTACTGATTGTATTTGATATCCATACAGGTCCTAGCATCAGGTGGTCCATATCCCCTGGTAGTGTTACCAGTCAGTGGTGAATATTGGTTGGAAGGAAGTAATCACCAGTGTACTGTCAATAATGGCTCGCACATGCTCATTCCTCATTTTGATACCCAAAAGTGTTTTATAGAAATTGACCAAGCTGTTGAGTATTATAGGAATTTTTTTCTAGGAAAGGTAAGTTTGCGTCAAAGAAAGTGAAATGGTTAATATACGCTATTTCAAAGGTTGGTGTAGGTTTTGTTGCATGTTACTTGTTGTAAATGGAGGTGGGGAGGGAAAGCTGCACTCAATGTTCTCCTACTCCAGTACCACCTTCCCTGCCTTACCCTGCCTTGTTACAACTAGTTACCCTAATCATGTATGTTGCTACTCAGGCATACTATTGCATGCATTGAATTGCATTAATCAATTTGTTTGCAATTACGGTAAATGATATACTGTACTCCTGAAGCTCAGTGTGCATGACCAACTTCATCATGTGAACATGTATTTGAAGTTTGGATGCACAGGTGGCCAGAATACTGTGCTGTTAATCTTTTTAAACCATTTTGTGGGCAATCTAGCACAGTAGAGCAGTCACCTTGTGTGTTGTGAGCCTTGGTTTCTGTAATGAAGACAAGTATTGATTGTTCATTGTTATGTGCAAGAGATATAATGTGCAATGACTGGTTACCAAATGTCTCATCTTGTTGTTTCTAGGAACACTTCAACTTTATGTGCGAAGATGATAGACTAGGACCAGTAATTATATCCATCAAGCAGGAGATGAACAAACCTTCAGATACAGACACACAAGGTTTTGTTAGGGTGATTTTAAGGTATGTCACTTGTTGATGCGTGGCAGTGATTATGAGAGATGATCCATCATCGCATTCTAAAGGTACCACACCCTGAAACACAAATAGCATTCATGGAACATTGCAACATGTTCCTTGTTGTATATGGACCATTGCAACATGTTCCTTGTCTATGGACCATCACAACATGTTCCTTGTTGTCTATGGACCATCACAACATGTTCCTTGTTGTCTATGGACCATCACA